CGACAGACAACGGCCCCAGAAATCGAAATACGAGAGAAACGCCGCAGTGAAAAAACACCACTATCTGCCAGATGTCTGGGTTCGCAACCAGCTCCGCAATTGAGGCCAAAGCCGAGGGGGGCATCCCGAGCAGGATCACCACCTATTCCTGGAGGTCGCGCATCGACGAGGGAAGATCGATGATCGAGGAGGCTTTGAACGTGCTTGGGTTCCCTTGGAAGCCCTGGCGGGGTCCTGGGAGGTCAGGGGGGACGCGTTTCCTGAAAGAGGTGGCAACCGCCTCGGCGGCGAGCGTGGGGGGGAGATAAGAAGGAGAAAACTTTCTCAGAACGCGGCGGGACTTGGAAGAAACCCTCGCGCCTTCTGGTAAGTCTTCTGAGTCTTCGGGGAAATCGTAACTATACTTCCCATACAGCCAAGAGGACTTCCCAGCCTTCTGAACCCCCCAATATCACTTTCCCCCGAACTCGCCGCCGACAGCCGACATGCCACTGAAGGTGTAACCACCTCCTCCTGGAAACGCGCCCCCCTGTCGGGCGTTGGCAGAGCTGGGTTTAGTGACACCTGGTTTGGTGATCTGTACCGGGAGCGCCCCCCCGTCCCATTTCCACTAACCGGAACTGCCGTCACCCGAAAAAACACCAGCTATGGCAAACCTGGTTTAGTGATTCTGGCCAATTCAAAGGCTCCGGGGCCCTACCACTAACCGGGTCCCCTTACCTGGGGTCCTGCATACCCGACCCTGGGCATTGCCCCGTACCCGGTTGCCCAACCGCTCCGAAACTCCGGGGTCTCTGCCACCCGGAGCCTGCGCCCGCAGGTTGAGCGCCTCCGGGTCCTCGCCGGGCGACACCGTGCCGGTCTCGTCGCCGTTCACGGAATAGACCATGGGAGCAGGAAGAGTAGGATTAAGTCGGGCGTGTCCCCCTACAGGGGGATTTTGGGCGAAAAATAAATACCCCAAAATGGTCAAAAAAAATCAAAAAATAGTCCCCTGACTATTTTTGGACTATTTGAAGGGTATTTTTAATTTCTCGTCGAAGATACCCCTGTAGGGGGACACGCCCGAGTTAAGAGTAGGAGAGAGCGCGCGCGGGCGGAACTCGCAAAAAAGAGGGGGGCCTTAGCTACCCCCCCCCCCATTGGACCCCCCCTGCTGGAAGCTATCCCCCCCACTCCCCCCCATTTTAGTCCCCCCCAGAAGCTACCCCCCTCTCCGCCCCTTTTGCCGCTCCGGAAGCTACCCCCCCACTCCCCCCTTTCCAGGGGGGGGGGGGGCTTAGCGCTTAGCTACCCCCGCCCCCCCTCGGAACCCCCCCCTGCTGGAAACTACCCCCCCCCCTCCCCCATTTTTGTTGCCCCCCCCCCGAGGCTATCCCCCCCCTCCCCCCCTTTTGCCGCTCGGGAAGCTCCCCCTCCCCCCCCCCTCCCCCACTTCCAAAGGGGGGGGGGGGGCTTAGCTACCCCTCCCGCCCTTTGGACCCCCCCTGCTGGGAGCTACCCCCCCCTCCCCTCCTTGTTCGTTGTCGCCGCCGTCGCCGTCGCCGTCGCCGTCTTCGCATGACCTAGTCGTGGTCGTCACGACGAGGACGAGGTCATGCGAAGACGGCGACGGACGACGGACGACGCGCGACCGACGACCGACGACCGACGACGACGACGACCCAGGGTCAGAGAAAACGAGACCACGACCCAGGGTCCGAGAAAACGAGGAAACGAAGCAGGGACCGAGAAAACGAGACCACGGCCCAGGGGCCGAGAAAGCGAGAAAACGAAGCAGGGTCAGAAAAAACGAGCCAGGGTCCGAGAAAACGAGACCACGGCCCAGGGGCATAGAAAACGCGAAAACGAACCAGGGTCCGATAAAACGAGACCACGACCCAGGGGCCGACAAAACGAGACAACGAGAAAACAAACCAGTGCCCGAGAAAACGAAACCACGACCCAGGGGCCGAGAAAACGAGGCAACGAGAAAACGAACCAGGGCCCGAGAAGGCGAGAACACAACCCACGGGCCGAGAAAACGAGAAAACGAACCAGGGCCCGAGAAAACGAAACAAAACCCAGAAGCCAAGAAAACGAGAAAACGAGACAATAAACCAGGGTCTGAGAAAACGGGATAACGCCCCAGGGGCCGAGAACACGAGAAAACGAGATAACTAACCAAGGTCCAAGCAAACGAGACCACGACCCAGGCCGAGAAAACGCAAATATCGGTCCTAGAAGACGAGACCACGGCCCATGGGGCCGAGAAAACGATAAAAGGAATCAGGGCCCGAGAGAACGAGACTACGAACCAGGAGCCGAGAAAACGAGGAAACGAGAAAACAAACCAGCGTCCGAGAAAACGAAACCACGACGCAAGGGCCGAGAAAACAAGAAGACGAGAAAACTCAACATGGCCCGAGAAAACCAAACCACGACCCAGGGGCACAAAAAACGAGAAAACGAACCAGGGCCCGAGAAAACGAGACCACGACCCAGGAGCAGAGAAAACGAGAAAACGAGAAAACGCAACGGGGTCCGAGAAAACGAGACTACGGCCAAGGAGCAGAGAAAACGCGAAAACGATGAAACAATCCAGGGTCCGAGATAACTGGACCACGACCCAGGGGGCGAGAAAACAAGAAAACGAGAAAACGAACCAGGGTCCGAGAAAACAAGTCCACGACCCATGGGACGACAAAACAAGAAAACAAGACAACGAATCAGGGTCAGAGAAAACGAGACAACGACCCAGGGGACGAGAAAGCGAGAAAACAAGACAACGAACCAGGGGCCGAGAAAACGAGACAAAAACCCAGGAGCCGAGAAAACGAGAAAACGAGAAAACGAACGGAGGCCCGAGAAAACGAGACCACGACCCAGGTGCGGAGGCAACGAGAAAACGAGAAAACGAACCGGGGCCCGAGAAAACGAGACCACGACCCAGGGGCCGAGAAAAGGATAAAACGAGAAAACGAACCTGGGTCAGAGCAAGCAAAACCACAATCCAGGGGCCGAGAAAACGGAGAAAACGAGAAGCCGAGCCAGGGTCCGAGAAAACGGGACCACGATCCATGGGCCGAGAAAACAAAAAACGACCCAGGCCCCGAGAAAACGAGACCACGACCCAGGGGCCGAGAAAACAAGAAAACGGGAAAACTAACAAGGGTCCGGGGAAAAGTGACACCGCGACTCAGGAGCCGAGAAAACAAGAAAACGAGATCACGAACCAGGGCCCGAAAAAACAGCACAAAAAAAACAAAAACCGAGAAAACAAAAAAAAAAACTAACCAGGGTCCGAGAAAACGAGACCACGACCCAGTGGCCGAGAAATCAAAAAAACGAGAAAACGAACCAGGCCCCGAGAAAACGAGACCACGACCCAGGGGCCGAGGAAATGAGAAAACGCGAAAACGACCCACGACCCAGGGGCCGAGAAGACGAGAAAACGAGAAAACGACCAAGGGTCCGAGGAAACCACGACCCAAGGGCCGAGATCACCAGAAAACGCTTGGTTCGAGAAAACGAGACCACGACCCAGGAGCCGAGAAAACAAGGAAACGAGAAAACGAAGCAGGGTCAGAAAAAACGAGACCACCACCCGGGCGCCGAGACAACGAGAAAACGAGAATACGAACCAACGTCCGAGAAAACAAAACCACGACCCAGGGGCCGAGCAAACGAGACAACGAGAAAACGAGGCGGGGTCCAAGAAAACTGGACCACGACCCAGGCGCCGAGGAAACGAGAAAACGAGAACACGAACCAGGGTCAGAGAAAACGAGACCGCGACCCAGCAGCCGGAAACACGAGAAAACAAGAAAACGAACTAGGGGCTGAGAAAATTAGGGAACGAAAAAAGGAATCAGGGCTCGCGAAAACGAGACTACGAACCAGGGGCCGCGAAAACAACAAAACAAGAAAACGAACCAGGGGTCGACGTCATTCTCCAATGTGTCTAGCGCTGCGGCGCGCACCTGTCGTCAGGGATTCCGCCATTTTGCCAGAGCCCCGGAAGGGAGGGGGGGGGGGTAGCTTCGGAAGCCCCCCCCCTTTGCAAAGAAGGGGGGAGTGGGGTAGCTTGAAGCCGCCCCCCCCTGTGTCCAGATCAAAAAAGGAAGGAGGGGGGGGTCAGCTTCCGAAGCCCCCCCCCTTTAAAAAGGAAGCCCGAGCTCACCTTCTGCTCCGGAAAAGGGAGGGACGGGGGGGATAGCTTCGAAGCCCCCCCCCCTTTAGCCAGGACCCCCCCAGCTCAAAATTGCTTCCAAAAGGGAGGGGGGAGGGGGGTAGCTTCGGAAGCTCCCCCCCCTTTTCGAAGGATGGGGGGAGGTAGCTTGAAGCTGGGTCCCCCTTTTAGTATTGAGTTCCGTACGGGCGCGCTCTTTCAAGAGTAGGAAGGATGACACATCGAGAAAAGGACACCCTTTTTAAAAACAGTTTGGAGACCTGTGGGGGGGGGACGAGGAGGAGGAGGAGGAGGAGGAAGAGGAGGAGGAGGAGGAGGAGAAAGAGGAGGACGAGGAGAAAGAGGAGAAGGAGGACACAAAGACATAATTATCGACAGTGCAAGCATGACGCTACTACTCGAGGCTTCCCTCAGCTCTCAGCGACAAGACGCGAAAGTCTTCTGCAACTCTATGCAGCCCGTCCCTAGCACATCGTTGCTAATACCAATCAGAGCAAGCACGGTAGAGGTCGGTAGCCCCGGGGAATTGGAGCCCCGGGTAACGGTAACGCTTGAGCGGGGTGGGGCACGTGGGGGCGGGGTTCGGCACGTACGATCGCCAATGTATGCGCGCGAGCCCCAGCATCTGGGGGGGGTAGGTATCCACCCCGCCCCTCTACGTGCGATCGTCACCGCTACCCCCGGGGGGGACTAGTTCACGTTCGTTATGCGCCACATGAGCAAATACATATTCTCCCGCGGTGAACTCACCCGATGCGAGGAGAGGGAGCGGGAGGGTCACTTTCCGTGGCGCCATGTAGGTTCAGCCGCACAGCGGTGCGCCAATCTGCTATCGGCTGCTCGCCCAGTCCGCAGCAACGCGCTTGCCAGGCCGCCGGTCTTCCCGGCCCGGCGCGAACGACACGCAGACGCCCTCCTCTCGTCAGCGGTGCTCGCCGCGGGCCTGCCAAGCGCCGCCACGACGTCCTGCGCGTCGAGGCACTCGCTCAAGGCCGCGGCCGCTCGGGGGCTCCACGCCCTCCTCCTGCTTCACGCCCTGGGCCTCCCATTGCCGCGTCGGCGCGGCAAGGACGCCGTGGCCTCGGAAGGCCGCTCCGAAGCTTTTCGAGCGGGGCGCGGCCTGCGAGCGTGGCCAAGGAAGGACCCAGGAGGCAAGGACGCAAGGGCACCCTTGGGAAAATGGCCCATCCTCGCTGCGCGGGTCGACTACGTGCCACGTCGGAGGCCTTCACGTTCTCCAGCTCCTCGGGGTGCTCCCGCGCGGCCCCGCGGCCGTCGGCGGGGCAGCGCCCCCCCCCCCACGACGGGGCCCTTCTTGCCCTTCGCGCGGCCTGGCCAGCACCACGTCGTCCTCGTCCGAAGCCGGGCTCGGCGCCCGCGCCTCGGCAACGACCGAGGCTTCGGACCTCCACGCCCTCGACGACGCCCACGTGCACGACCAGGGCAACGACGCAGGGCCCCCCCCCGCGGAGCTCGACCCCAGCGGGGCGCCCGCGCCCCCCATCGCCGCTGTGGACCGCCACGCCCACCTCGACCACCACGCCGCCGTCCAGCGACACCCCGGTCTTCTGCGCCGTGGCGCCGCCCGCGGCTCGGCCCGGGCGCAGCCCCCAGGCGTGGAGCGCGGAGAGGAGGGCGCCGACCCGATCCTGCTGCATCCCGCCAGGGACGAGGGCCCGCGCGCCCGCTCGAAACCCCGCGACCAGCTCCCGCCCCAGCTCCAGCTGCGCAGCCTCCACCGCGGCGGCGCGAGTCACCGAGAGGGGGTCCGCGCGGTGGAGCCGCCCGCCGCGCACGAGGGCGGGGGCCGGACGCCCGGCCCTGCAGCGCCGCTGCGCACAGCTCCACCGGGCCGCGGGGCGGCTGCCGCAGCCTGGAGAGGCCTGCAGCGCTTCGCCGGTGCTGGGAAGGCGCGCGCGCCGAGGCGGTCGCAGAGCCGCCAGCGGCGTGCGCAGAGAGAGGCACGGAGGGCCCTGCAGCGCGCAGCCCCGCCTGCCCGACGGGCCCCGCGCCGCCGCCTGCGGGCGAACGCCGCTGCACGAGACGGCCCCGCCTCCGGGCGGGCTCCACGCCCGCCGTCGAGGGCGCGCGCGCGCCGAAGGCTGCCCCGCGCCTGCCGGCCGCGCGGCCGAGCCCACGTGGAGCGCGCGCCGAGGGAGGGCCTCCCGCGAGCCAGCCCGCTTCAAGCCAAAATGGCCACTGGGATAAGGTAGAAAAAGAGGAGGAGGAGGAGGAGGAGGAAGGAGGAGGAGGAAGAGGAAGGAGGATCAGGATCAGGAGGAGGAGGAGGAGGAGGAGGAAAAGGACTGCGGGGCAACCCCTCAAACACCAAGCTCAGTCCCGGGCGGGAGGTGCCCGCGGCCGCGCTGACGGGCCGGCGGAAAGTGGAGCCGCGGGCGCTGGTCCTGAGGCACGGGGCCTTCCCGCCGGTGCCTGCGACCACTGCTGCCGCCCCGCCGCGGAGAGCATCCTGGCCCAGGGGAGCCCAAAGGTGGCGCGCGCGTTTCTTCCAGCTGCAGGCGACCGGCCTGGACCGTCAGCCAGCCGCGGCGCTGCTCCGACTCAAGACGGGCTCCGACTAAATACACGTTCGTGGACCGCACCTGCGGCATCCCAGAGACCGAGGCTTGGGCCTTGGACGCAGCGCTGGCGGCAGAGGCGCAACACGCCCTCGGACTACAGCTGAGCGGCACGGCGGGCACGCAGCTCTTCCTTGCTGGGAACGACGGCGGCGCCGGGTTCCAGAGCGTGGAGCTGATCGCGCCAGCCGCCCACGCCGCTTCCTGGCACCACAGCCTGCCGCACTGCCTGCGCGGGCTAGCCAGCACTGACGGACGCCAGCGCCCTGGCCGCCCTCAGCCCTTGAGCGCAGCGCTGCCCCCTTGCGGCCACGGTCACTGCTACAGGATACGCTAGAAGATTCTACGGCCCAAATAAGCGACGAAGGACTGGCAGCAACGCAGCACGCATTGACCACGGCCCCCCTTGCTTCGGCTGCCCTCCGGGTCGCCGACCTCGCGGCAGGCGAAGGCCCGCCCGCGGCGGCCGCCGTGCGCTCGGCAGGAGGGCCCAAGGCGAGCGGCTGGCTGCAGGCCCCCACGCGAGCGTGCCACCGCTTCAGCAACGCACAGTTCGGCATCGCAATAGGGGTTCTCCTGAACCTCGACCTGCCAGGCTGCACAGGGCTCGGCCAGCACCGCCACCCCAATGGCGAGGTCTGCGGCGCGCCTCTCGACCCGAACGGCAGGCACGTGCGGGGATGTGCGGTCGAACCGCTGTTGGTCGACCCCACGGTCGTCAGCGCGGCCTCCCAGGACGCCCTGGCGCTC